GGGGAAGTCTTAGTAGGAAACCCTAGAGTTATGGCCAAGGTCAACTAATATTACTCAAGGCATCACCTATTCATGGGATACAGAATTGGTGGATGTAACTAACTTCTGAGTGAATTGGCTTGTTGGATGCATAAGATTACAAAATAATAATTATAAATTATCAAGGGTTCATGGGAGGGGAACCCTGGAGAGGGAAAAATGAGCTGATGCCAAGGGCTCAAGTAGAAAGCAAATGTTTTAAGAATGAGGGAAACGTACAAAAGTGCTTGACGATGGATGGATGGATGGATTGTGATAAGAGATGTACGAGCCCCAATAAAATGACTTAATTATTTTTTAAAAAATGAAAACAATTTTATTTAAGAGACAATTGCTTGGTTTCTGTTATCAATAGTAGCAGAATGACAGAAAAAATGTAGAGGTGAATTGTAGCAATGAAGTATAGTATTAGTTCAGTCAGAGCTATGACCTAGTCTCTGGGCTGACACAAAAAGGAAAAGTTATGTTAGAAAAACGGGAAGTACTCCTATAACCACTGGTCACCAGAAGGTATCCCGGGAGGGGAATGGAAAACCATGAAACCAGGGGCTATAGTGTAAAAGACATTGTTGCAATTTGTAGACCTGTATCATCAGCTTCCCGATTAAGGAACCAATACTAAAATAAGGCATTTTCTTTAGTTTTGAATGCTACTGAGTGGTAAAGTATGAACTGATACAAGACCCTCAGCTCACTATAGAATAGTCATGAATGGTTGTACTAGCTCCAGTCACAAGAAAGATTAACTGCGAAGTAACAGCCAGCATGGTGGACTGGATAAAATTCTCAGTGAGACTAGTTTACCCTGAGAAGGGAAATTGTCTGTCTCCCACCTTAAATACTTATTGGAACAGTCCCAAGAAAGCAGCTAATCAGTTAATGTGTTGCATGTGGAAATAATGCTAGACTGTGTTTTGGTGATAGGGATAGTTCTCCAATATTCATTCTTATGCAGGTTGTGACAAATAGTGGTAATCAAGGGGAGCCTCTTTTACGTAGGCACCCCATGTAACTTTAATACTACAAAACAGCAGCAATCCAAGAAGTGTCGTGTGTTGACACAACTCCCTCACATGGGTTTTACAGATGCAAGAAACATAAGAGTAATTAATAGGAGATTGGGATGGGGCAATTAGGAAAGGACTTATCCCAGTAGGAAAGAGATTTTTAGGTGCCTACCAAGAAATGGAATGAATACAGCAGACACTGATGGAGCTGATAAAAAGCTAATACAGCTCTACAGGAGGTTGAGTGGACCCATGGAAGCTTCTGCTGGTTCCCCAATGTTAAGGTCTAAACAAGTTGGTTGTCTTCACCCCAGCCACTTTTCTCTGTGATATGCAATGTACTGGCTAGACTAACTGCGAATGCAGAGATGATTCACATCATGCCGCCTTTTAAAAAAATCATGATCAACTGAGGAAAGATTGGAGTTCTGTCATTTGGATCCACCTTCACCACCATGGAAGCAAGCAGTCAAAGACTCCAAGGATGTATTGAACTGGGTGAATGTGCTGCACAAGACTTCTTTAAAGTGTTACACAGCAAGGTTGTCCCTATGAGGACTGAGGCGTGCCTGACCCATACCAAGATATTTTCAGTGGCCTCAGCTGCATGTGACAAGTGGGCAATGAATAAGGAAGACCAACAAAGAATTGATGCCTTTGAACTATGATGTTGGCAAAGACTATTGAAAGTACCATAGACTGCCAAAAGAACAAACAACTCTGTCTTGGAAAAAGTATAGCCAGAATGTTCCTTAAAAATGAGGATAGCTTACAAGGATCTACATATAACCTCCTCCCTGAGGGACAGACAAGTGAGTGAGGGGAGACGTTGGACAGTGTAAGATAGGACAAAAATAATTTGTAAATTATCAAGGGTTAATGAGGTTGGGGGGGGGAGCGGGGAGGGAGGGGAGAAAATGAGTACCTGATGCCAGGAGCTTAAGTGGAGAGCAAATGTTTTGAGAATGATGAGGGTAACGGATGTACAAAATGTGCTTTACACAATTGATGTATGTATGGATTGTGAGAAGCGTTGTATGACACCCCCCCCCCAATAAAATGATTTTTTTAAAAGTGAGAATAGCGAGACTTTATTTCATGTACTTCGGGTATATTATCAGGAAGGACTAGTCCCTGGAGAAGGATACCATGCTTGGTAAAGTAGAGGGTCTGCGAAAAAGAGGAAGCCCTTCAAAGAGATGAGTAGACACAGTTGCTGCAACCTTGGGCGCAGACATACCAAGGATGGTGAGGATGCGGCTGAAGTGGCCATATTTCATTCTGTTATACGTAGAGCTGCTATGAGTCAATACCAACTTGGTGACCATAGGCAAATCTGCTGCAGAAGACCTCTTTAAAATGTGGAAGAGGAAGGATGTCCCTTTGAGGACTAGGGTGTGCCTGGCCCAAGCCATGGTTTTTCAATAATCTCATATGCATAGATATTAAACAAGACAGACTGGAGATAACTCTATGCATCTGCATTATTGTGCTGGGGAAGAGTATTGAAAGTACTGTGAACTGCCAGAAGAACAAACAAACCTGTTTGGGAACAAGTACTGCCAGAATGTTCCGTAGAAGCAAGCATGGGGAGACTTGGTTTCACGTATATTGTACATCTTATCAGAAGAGACCATTCTCTGGAAAAGGTTATCAAACCTGACAAAGTAGAGGGGCAGCAAAAAAGAAGACCCTCAATGAGATGGGTTCACACAGTGGCTACACCAATAGGCTCAAATATAACAGCCATTGTGAGGAGGGCACAGGACCTGGCAGCGTTTCATTTTGTTGTACATATGGTCACTATGAGTTGGAACTAATTTGATGGTACCTCAAAACAAATAACCAACATAATACCATTATCTAAACTAGTGCTATATTACTAGTTATTTCATCTACAGACATTTGTATTTCTGTGCATTTCTAATTATTGTCCTTCATAGCTGTGTTAGTCTGGGTAGACTAGAGAAACAAATCCACAGAAACTCATGTATGTAAGAAAGAGTTTTATATAAAGGGTAAGTGTACATGAAGAAAGCATCCCAACCCAGTGCTGTCCAAGCCCATAAGTCCAACATTGGCCCATATGTCTGACACCAATCTACAAAGCCCTCCTCAATCTCACAAAACACATACAATGATGCCGACTGCAGGAGGAAAGCCAAATGAGTGAGCGTGTAAGCATCTCAGCGCTGGCAGGGGTCTCCATGCAGCTGCTCCAGCACCTAGGGCTGCAACAGAGTAGGTCCATGTGGCTTCTCTGGGATGTTTTGCAGGAAGTGAACCTTGCCAACTGAAGCAGCGAACTGGCTAAGGCAGCTGCACCCAGGTCCAACCATCAGAGAACAAGAGACCCGAGAACAAGAAAGTTGTTCACAGAGCCATTTATCTCCCTGCCCTTCAATTAA